CTGTACCTAAATTCTATTTCAATAAAATGCATTTTTTAAAAAAGTGACACTACCACATAAAGTTCTATTAATTTGCAGTGTCCTTACTGACCCAATGGAGTTTCTTGAATAGGAAATGTAGGTTTAGCATAAATATGGAATATGCAAAAATGTTTATATTTTACTTTAAACATGAATCTATCACATCAGTTTATCGAATAGAAGGAAAAGAGAGCTATGTCTCAGCTGCTTTTCATATCACTTGATTTTAAGAAATCGTTAGTAGTGTCATCATTTCATTATTCCTGAAATGTTGACTGGGACTTCCCCTCAGAGATGATGAGTGTTAAAAATAGTTACCACCAGAGAGGCAGCATTCACACAGAGGGAAAAGTGGACAGACAGGAATGCATAGAAGAAGGGCACAGGGCGGGGAAGTCATGGGGAGGGGAGGGGAAGAAAGTTTTTTATGGTTGGGGATGGTAATTACATTGTAAAGTCAAATGTGTATCAACTGTTGAATGTAAAACAAATTTGCACCCTAAGCACACACACAAAAATACAATTTCAACACTGCTAATTTCAATTTCTTACTGCTAAATGTAGCTCTGGTAACATAGTGCCTAAGGCACTTGACTGCTAACCAGAAGGCTGGAGGTTCAAACCCACCAGCCAGTCCTCAGAAGAAAGATGGGGCAATCTACTTCCGTAGTGATACTGCCACAGAAACCCAAGGAGGGATTGCTATGAGTTGGGTCTGACTCGACGGCACATAACAACAACAACAAACACAGTGCCTAAGGCACTTGACTGCTAACCAGAAGCCTGGTGGTTTGAACCCACCAGCAACTCCTCGGAAGGAAGGTTGGGCAATCTACTTCCTTAGTGATACTTTGGGGCCGACTGGAGGGCACATAACAACAACAGCAACAACAAACAAACAGTCACCACTGTGAGTTTTTAGGTTGTTTATTTCTAAGTACATACTTGAAAACTAGCCCCTTATACATAACATAACATGATTTATTGTGCAATTTGAAAAATATTACCATTTTTGCATCAAAAATAACCACACTCACTGCCATCAAGTTGATTCTGACCCATAGAGACCCCTTTTGGTTTTCAGAGGCAGTAAATCTTTACAGAAGTAAAGAAGTCTTCCTTCCGTGGAGTGGCTGGTGGGTTTGAACCACCGACCTTCAAGTTACCAGTCAAATGCCTTAGGCACTATGCCACCAGAGTGCTTTCATTTTTGAATCATTGTTGTCATGTGCCATCGAGTCAGATCTGACTCATAGCGACCCCTCTTTGGGTTTCCAAGGCAGTATCACTATGGAAGTAGATTGCCCAACCTTCCTTCCGAGGAGTGGCTGGTGGGTTTGAACTGCCAGCCTTCTGGTTAGCAGTCAAGTGCCTTGGGCACTATGCTACCAGAGCTCCCCATTTTTGGATCAGGCACCTCAAAATGCATTATCTTATTTTAACCACATCAGGTTTATGTGGTTGAGTTCGCATTGTTAGATGAGAAAACAGGCTAAGAGAGGTTAGGAAGCATGTCTAGGTCACACAGCTAGAGAGGGGCTGAGGGTAATTTAAACCTGCTTGATTTCAGAACCCTGTATTTGGGATTATTACATATATCATTCACTGTCATAGCATTAGCCCTTCAATGTTTTATTTGTAATCAGATACTTCTAAAGTCTTAAACATCTAAACTACTGTTTTTAAATTTACAAGGTTAGAAAAATATTTCTTTATAAGCACTTTAAAATGTACATAAAACATCATATAAATCATTTTGTAAGGAACTTTTCTTGAAGTCCTAACTTCACATTACAGACCCCCTATAATGCAATTATCATCATAGCAACAAGTGGAAAACTAAGTAAAACTGTGAAAGGTGGAAGTGGATCTTTACTAATAAAAACCTCATTGTTTGAATATCTACTTAGAATCAATTATAGTCTTCAACCTCACTTTCTAGCCTATGCCTTCTTGCTGAACTGGTTTCTGCCCCAAAATAGTAGTTTTTTGTGGTGCTTGGGCTTGTATTAAAATTCCTGAAATAGGTTTGACCTTTCCAGCCAGTGTTCTGAGAGTGAGGGAAGGAAAGATCTCTGAGCCATGTCTGAAGCACAGCAGTGCTGGAGCTTCTTGGGTAGCAAGTGTTCATCCTGAGAGCCAAACTGCACCTTTCAGGGAGCTTCTCTCTTCACCATCAGCTTCCTCTCTCCTGATAGCAGAAATGGGGTGAAAAGGGGAGTTTGTACAGGAAATGCCAACCTAATAAGCAGTCACCAGAGGAGACCCCAAACTATTTCATTTAAACAAACATTTCAGTGGCCTATATTTGAGGTATAACATTTTATTTTAAACTGCCCATTAAAAATACCTTTCATTTTTGCTACTTAACATTCATCATCCAACCTCTTTGGAATTTAGAGAATTTAGAAAACCTTTGGGACAGAGGTACAAGGGATACATTTAGAAAAGAAATCCAGGGCCTTCCAGCAAAGCCTGGGACCCCTCCCCCTCCAAATTTCCTTTTGGTATTCATGATCTAATAAAGCTGTATAGCTGCTAAGCGGTAGACTGGATATAGAGAGCCTACAGGATAGAGTTGTTGTTGTTACATGCCGTCAAGTAGAACCGACTCACAGCGACCCCTCCTTGGGTTTCCGAGGCAGTACCACTACGGAAGTAGATTGCCCAACCTTCCTTCTGAGGAGTGGCTGGTGGGTTTGAACCGCCAGCCTTCTGGTTAGCAGTCAAGTGCCTTAAGCACTACACCACAGGATAGTGTAGAACTGCCCTATAGGGTTTCCTAGGCTGAAATCTTACAGGAGCAGATCTCCAGCTTTTCTCTTGTGGAGTGGCTCGTGGGTTCAGTTAGTAGCCAAACTCTTAACCACTGTACCACCAGGAATTCTTGGGTTTTGTGTGGACAGGAGAATTAAGGCTTAGTACTTCAAAGCAGTGGTTCTCAACCTGGGCAACTGGGCCTGTCCATGGAACAACTGGCAACATCTAGAGACATTTTATCACTGGGGGGTGAGGAGGCCAACTGGCATCTGGTGGGAAGAGACCATGAATGCTTCTAAAAGTCCTATAGTACACAGGACTGCCCCTCCTGCCACCACCAAAGAATTATCTGTCCCAAAACATCAATAGTGCTGAGGTTGAGCATCTCTGCTCTACAGCCACACTGTAGGCATGTGTGTTCATTTGCCTGCTGGGCTGGAGGGCTTCAGAATCAGAAGCACTAATAATACTGTTATCAACCCATGAAGTGCTGGGATCCTTTCCGGTAGTGAGACTGACCCTCACCTGTGCCCTTTCCTCCCTCCTGGCAGGGCTCTGCATGACTGCAAACCACTTTCCTTTAGCAAAGTGCCAGCAGGGAGGCCGAATAGCCAGTTGGATTCAATCTTCTAGTGCCTCCATTCTCTTCAAGACTTCATGTGGGTTTTGAAAGACTGAGTACTAGAAGCACAATTTCCAGACTCAGAAGCTTCCTTTTTTACATCCAGGCACACAGAAAAAAGTGAAAATCATCCTCCAGTACACTGGGGTAAACTGAGGAGGCTGTTCCAGCATGATGAGCTCCAGTCATACCCTGGTGTGAAGAAAAAACCAAACCACACTCACCGCCAGAGTCAATTCAGACTGATAGTGAACCCCATTGGGTGTCCGAGGCAGTAAATCTTTACAGATGTAGATTGCCTGGTATTTCTTATACAGAGTGGCTGGTTTGAACCGTCAATCTTCTGGTTAGCAGCAGTCAAATGCCTTAGGCATCACCAGAGTGAAGAGGTCAATAATCCCTGAAAACCTGTTCCCTCTTCAGGGTACATGTTGGTAAACTACATAGAGTACCAGAATGATAGGAAAGAATTTGAAAAAGAATCCAGGGTTTTTGTATTAGTAGAAGATTCTGATGCTTTTTTTTTTCCTCCTTTGTACTCCTTAAAATCTTTTAATTTAAGGAGTGGAGATTTGTGTATAATTCTTGAAGGCTGTAGTGATAGATACTGCATTTTTTTAATAATGAAGTTACCTATGTTTTTGGAATAAACTGGTTGTGATACAACAAAACCTACTTGGACAGAACCAAGAATTTTACTGTACTTTGGTGATGGCAAGAGCCTATGTGGAGAAGAGAACATAAAATAGAAAGCTGATTTATTTTGCATTCTCTGAATTTTTTTCTTGCTCAAACAAAACTCCAAGAAATGGAATGAAATGCATAACCGGTTATGGCATGAGCTGAAGGAAAATGATCTTCCTCAAATATCTCTTCTCTCCATTTCAAAACCCACTGGGGCTCCTCCTTTGATTAGTCCCAGGGCATTAATCACTCTTCTGGCTTACATTTTCCTGAAGGTGGGTTGTTTGCTGCAGATTTCTGTGAAATGTAGGAAGTAATTTTTAAAGCAGACCCAGCACCTATATCAATGACGAAAGAATTCTGAACTGTCTGAGGCAGCATACTTTTCACTAGGTTCTCACCAAGTGGAGAAGTTTACTTCACACTGCCAACATCCCTTATAGGATTAGTTCTGGCTGACATGTATCAAATAGTTGAGAAGATCTGTTCGTGAACATAGGTAGAGTGCATATGCCAGCTTTCCCACTGTGGCCCCCTTATTGCCTTCCCTCATCAGCCACTTTTGGAGCATCTGGTAAACTTTCTCTTTGAGTCCATCTCGCTCATAGTCATGGTCAATTTCATCAATCTGAGGTTCGGTGAAGCCCAGCTTACGGGCACATTTTTTCCAGTCCCTTCCCAGATTTTCCCTGACTGGGTCCAGGTGTTTATCAGTCAGACTGGTGATATTATCTGCCAAATGGAAAAGAGAAGACGGTGTCAAGCTATAACCCATTTGAACATTCTAGCTTCGCAAACAGATGAATAACCCAAGGGAAGGTGAAGAGTACCAGCAAACAGTGAAAAGTAACTTCTTAGTTATATAGTTATTTATTCATTGGATGTGATGCTTTACATGCCTACTAGCCCACATGGAGTCTTTGTGTGCAATAGAACAAGGTACTCCTTCCTCACAGCAGATGGAGCCTTAAGCCACTGCTGATGGCTTTGTGAGCAAAACCCCTACTTGGCTACTACTAGGTTGGGTATCTGATACAATTGGAACCAGCATCTCTACTTATATTGCATCTCTTGGATGTAAAAGAAAATACCACTTTTGTTCCTTTTAGGCATTTTCCACTTACATCTGGCTAGACTCAGGGTGACCTAAGTCCTGATGTCCCGTTCTCAACAGTTCGCTTTCCTCTGATTGAATCAAGGAAATTGAGACCATCATAATGCATGTTTTAGTATGTTTACAACTTCTTGGGTGACTATTAAGGTTGTTGTTGTTGTGTTGTTATGTGCCGTCAAGTCGGCCCTGACTCATAGTGACCCCTCCTTGGGTTTCCGAGGCGGTATCACTACAGAAGTAGATTGCCTGCCTTCCTTCCGAGGAGTGGCTGGTGGGTTTGAACCGCCAGCCTTAAAAAAGACAAAAAAACAAAACCAAACTCACTGCCATCAAATCAATTCAACTCACAGCCACCCCTCCTTGGATTTCCGAGGTGGTGTCTCCATGGTAGTAGATTTTGCCCAATCTGCCTTCTGAGGAGTAGCTGGTGGGTTTGAACCATCAGCCTTCTCGTTAGCAATCAATGCCTTAGGCAGTAGGCCACCAGAGCTCCTATTATAAATAAACATGTATGGATCCTTTCTTAATAAACTGGTTATGACTTGATGTAATTGGGGCTGTTAAGTCTGACCATATATCACTGTGATAGAATGTGGGCTTTTTCAAGGGTGAAGGCTGTAAGTCTTAACCACAGAGTAATTTATAGGCTTCTAAAATAAATAAATGAAAGTAAACACAGCAGCTATAGAATACACTGTGCATTTTATTGTAACAGCTATTTTATATATTATAGTGTCAATTAAATGTTTCATTGTATTAATCACAATGACTTTCAAGGCAGGAAATATTTATACTCTTCAAGGTCTGTTTCTGGACACCCCCACTCCCCACAGCTATGAGTTGCTCTTTCTCTTATGATCATAACTTCTCTCTAATAGCCTCTTCCCCTTTCATAAAAATAACCAAAAAAAAAAAAAAAGGAAACAAAGTAGATATAAAACTATTACCACAAACAAACCATATTCTTTGGTCCTGATCCTACCTCAGTGAACTGAATATAAGAATAAAAGATACCTTATTTTTTTCCCCACAACTCCCATTCTTTTGTTCTGTCCTCACAATTGCTCTACAGCCATACCTGTTCATTTACATACTGCTTTTACACTACACTGATAGAGCTGAGTAGTTGTGACAGAAACCTTAGGGCCCACAAAGCCTAAAATATTTACTATCCAGTCCTTAACAGAAACATTTTGCCAATCCCTGTGTTAATCAGAAAGCTTGGCTCTTAGAATTTCAAATTCTCATGGACTACAGACTTTCTAGCGCCATGGAGGGTGAAACTATTGCCCTGAGATAATTTTTAAACCTTAAACCAAAAATATCCCGAGGTCTTCTTAAAACCATGCAATAGTTTAGCTTAACTATTAAGGACATGTAGAATGTCTGCCTTAGCACTGTACTCTTTTAAGATCTATTTACATGGGATCAACACAGAAGATAAAACTTGAAATTTAGGAGGTAGTGAGTTTATGTTATGGAGGGAGGAACAACTTGGAAAAGAAGGATAAGAATAGTTGCATAACTTGAAGGATGTAATGTCACTGAATTGTACATGTAGAAACTGTTGAATCTGTATATGTTCTGCTGTGTATATTCTCAACAAAAATGAAAAAAAAAGTTATTTATTTTTTTTTCAAAAAAATAAAAAGAGTGCTGGGGTCTTAAATCATATTGTTTTGGACCCTTAATTGCTTTTCCTAGATTGTACTTTGGTATTAATGTTACTGGCTTGTAGAATGGAATTCTATGAGAGACAGCCCTTATTATTATTATTATTATTATTATTATTATTGCAGAGGAACTGCTGAGGGGATGGTCTTCTATCTTTTACAGCATCCCCTGTGATGAGGATATAAGGGCACTATTTCTCCCAGGTCTGAGAAGTAATATAGATGATAATAATAGTTTAATATTTTAAAGAACTTACTACATATCAGGGGAGCTCAAGTAACGTAGTGCCTAAGGCACTTGACTGCTAACCAGAAGGCTGGTAGTTCAAACCTACCAGCCACTCCTCAGAAGGAAGGTTGGGCAATCTACTTCCATAGTGATACCACCTCAGAAACCCAAGGAGGGGTTGCCATGAGTCAGATCTGACTCAACGGCACATAACAACAACTTCATACCAGGCAGTGTTCTTTATTCATTATACGTATTGACTCATTTCATTTTCACAACAAATTTATGAATCAGATACTGTTATTATCCTCATATTATAAATAAGAAAATTATAAGGAATTATATGGAAATGACAGAGATATTTACAAAGAAAACATGGGACAGCTTTCAGGGAGAATAATCAGAGAAATTTTAGGATTCCACTATAACCCTGTTAACAAGTAAGAAAGTTTAAGGTTGCTAGACAATGGGTCTTTAAAGGGCATCTTACCAAATATCTCTTGGTATTTTGATGCTGGCTCTTCTTTGAAGTTCATATATGTGCTTTCCAGTGGCAGTGCACTTGTTCCACCAACCATGTAATTGTAGTTTCCAATCTGAATGCCAGTGCTATTGTAAATGCTGTATTTGATAGACTCATCTAAGTAGAGAGAAATATAAATTAGTACATCGAGATAAAAAACGAGGGAAAGAAAAACAAAACCATACAGAAAAGGGCTTAAGGTAAATGTTTAAATTATTTGTCCTATGCTACCACCTGAAATGTTTTTTAAAACTTGGCTGCTACCAACTTAGAAAATTGTGGTGGATGAAGAACACAAGCAGGCTCAGCCAAGTTTCCCAGCAGGATCCCCTACTCAAACATCTGGTTAGCATCCTCCTTCTTAGAATAAAATCCAAACCTCTCACTTCAGTACTCAGAGCCAGCCATTTCCACTCAAACTTCTCTCTTTGATCTTTTTTCTCACTAACTCCTTACTTTCTCCTGAAACACCAGGTTTCCCACTGAACTATTAATATGCTGGTCCTACATTTGCTCAAGTTGCTCCTTTTGCCTGGACTGCCTTTCTCCCCCTATTTACTTGGGAGTTTCTGCAGAGGCCCAGCTCCAATTCTGCCTCTTACACTGAGCCACCACTATAAACCATAATCTAGCACTCTGTCACAGGCTCTCTGGGTTAGTTTGTATGGTTTATTTCTCCACTAGGGTGTGACTTCTTAAAGGAAAAACACCATGTTCACACATGTATATATTCCTTACACCTCCTATACAGCACAGGACTTTGTATATGGCCCATGTTCAGTGATATTATTCATGCTGAACTGAAGTTGCCAAAGTTTATTGCTATGAAGAACATTTAGCAGGTCTTTGTATAAGAGAGGAGGTAGAAGACAGGCCTGAGAGTATACATAATTTAGCTCTCAGCATCTAGAGCACGCTTGTCCCTAAAATAGGCAGTTCAGCTGGATCATATACCATGCACAGATAGTTGCATTTTCTCCTAAGAAGCTACAGAACTCTGGACCCTTTCTACTGAAAAATTAAGAAATGTATGCATACACACACTTGTACCAGTATTTAAGCTGCACAGGGAAGGAACTTGGGCTGTTGGTTCATTGCTGTATAACCAGTGCCTAGAAAACTGGCTGGTACATAGTTGTAAGCACTTTAGAAATTTTTATTCAATTAACCATGAATGAATAAAATATATTGACTCTAATGAAAAGTTTTGGTAGCGTAGTGCCTAAGGCACTTGACTGCTAACCAGAAGGCTGGCAGTTCAAACCCACCAGCCACTCCTCAGAAGGAAGATGGGGCAACCTACTTCCGTAGTGATATTGCCTCAGAAACCCAAGGAGGGGTCGCTATGAGTTGGATCTGACTCAACGGCACATAACAACAACAACAATGAAAAGTTTAATTCCCAAACACAATGAAAACAGGACATTTCACCCATATGATTACATACGACTTAAGTTTTGTTTAATGCCTAACTTTATATTCCACAGATCTTATAATAAAACATGGGAAAAATTCAGAATGCTTCCATAGAAAGTTTTAGGAGAAACTGGCCTTTTAAAAGAAATACAACTCAACTTTGTGCTTCTTAAGTTATCTCTAACTAAGCTGATTTCAGAATTCCTGGAACACAGTAAGGTATCATTGATAGATACCATTCATGTAGTCAGGTGGTACTGGGATGTATTATTTGATAATGATGCTGGATATTAACATCACTTTCGCTATAGACTATCAGTACCAAAAAACAAAACAAAACAAAACACAAAACCCACTGCCATCAAGTCAATTCCAACTCAACAAGACAGAGTAAAACTGCCCCATAGGGTTTCCAAGGCTATCAATCTTTATGGAAGCAGACTGCCACATTTTTCTCCCACAGAGCAGTTGCTGGGTTTGAACTGCTGACCTTTTTGGTTAGCAACCATGTGCTTTAACCTCTGTGCTACTAGAGCTCCTTAGACTGCTAGTTAACTACTATCAGTTAGGATTTACCTTTAACCTAAAGATACAGGAATTATAAGAACATATTTCAACACAAGTGGTAGTCTTTGGCCTATATAAGATAAATAATATCCAAGATTTACTTCTTACTATCAGAAAATAGCAAGTAAGATAAAAGAATGTAAGTAAGTATCTTCCCATTCACCAGAGACTGGGCCTGATGGAACTAATGTTTTATTCAGGTTATACTGAAAGATGCCTACCGGTTAAAAGGATATGTGACCCAGTTCTTGGGAGTTGTGATGAATCCTAGAACAAAACTGAAATATGCCCACGCTGTGTGGTCTGATGCAAACCATTCCATGGTAGCAAGTTGTATCTGGCAGCTGAAGACTAAAAACTCACCATTTGTCCCCATCATACCATCTACAATAGAGCTAAAGGCTGCTTTATTTTCAGAAAATAAAAAAACAGGATAGGCTTGTGACTGTTAAAGGCTTGTTTACCTGTTGATGGGAAGGAACTGAATGGAATGGTTGATGTGTTTCCCAATATGTTGCTCTCAGGCACTGGAGTTTTATGCAGGTTAGGCATCAGACTAGGATTTGGTCCATACCATGGTCTTGGACCTGCTGTTCCTAGATCCACTGGTCTGGCTCCCAAACCATGTGAACTGTTATATAAACCGTTGTTCCAGTATGGTACTTGGGATTGGCTGGTTAGCCCTGAGAGTTGTAGTAATGCATCAGCATGACTAGTTACACTGGGATAGGCAATGCCTTTTACCCCTGGGTTCTGAGTATTCTCATAAGGTCTCTGCTGTAGAAAGGGGTCATGGGAGACCCTTCGTTGCCTTTCCTCTTCTCTGTTATAAGCCACATTCTGTCTGGGTTGCCATTTTTCCTTCCTGTCCATGCGGCTGCCAAAAAGATGGTAGTTGGCCTCCTCCTGAAGTTTACTCTGCAGGCAAACCTCATTCTCTTCTTCCTGGTACTCCAAGGAAGGACCAAACCAGGACTCCTCCACGGGACCCATCCTGAGTCCCTGTGAACTGTGCAGCGAGCTAGGCTGTTCAGTGGCTGAGAAGAAGTGATCAACACTAGTATGAGTTTCATGAAACATTACGAAGTAAAATAAAGTATAAACAGTATCATGAACCTGTACCTCAGAGTAACATACTGATAAACTTGAGAACAAGTAAAAACCATTTACTAGATAGTCCTCTTCCTATGGGTTACAGAGGCAATAAAAGGTCCTGCCAGACAGTGAGACAGCACTAGGGAAATTACAAGCAACAGAAAAGTGAATGTTGCAGAAGTGACCAAGGAAGATAGGGATTTATGTTGAGCAGAGAAGGTGGTTACCTCCTGGGTGCAATAGCAGCTCTGTGCTAAGCACTTTCCATGGATTCTTTATTCTTTAAAAACCCTATGATAGATAATGTGAAATGGTATGGCCACTGGGGAAAACAGTTTGGCAGTTCCTCAAAAAGTTAAAACATAAAATTAACATTAAAAACCCCAAACCAAACCCGCTGATATCCAGTCGATTCAGACTCATAGCGACTCCCACTGGGTTTCTGAGGTGGTAAATCTTTACAGAAGTAGATTGCCCAGTCTTCCTTCCACAGAATGGCTGGTGGGTTTGAACTGCCAACCTTCTGGTTAGCAGTCAAATGTCTTAGGCACTGCACCACCAGAGCTCCATATGACCCAGCAATTCCACTCCTAGGTGTATACCCAAAACAAGTGAAAGTAGGGCCTTGAACAGATATTCGTACACCAATGTTCACTACAGCATTGTTCACAATAGTCAAAAGGTGGAAACAAGCCAATGTCCACCAACAGGTGAACAGATAAACTATGGTATGAACAGGATATTATTCAGCCATAAAGAGAAATGAAATTATGATGCATGGTACAACACAGATGAAACCTTAAAAACTTTATGCTAAGTAAAATAAGTCAGACACAATGGAAATATTACATGATCCCACTTACATGAAATATCTACAGTAGGCAAATGCATACAGACTAAAGTTTATTAGTGGTTACCAGAGGCTGGAAGAGAGGGAAATTGGGAGTTACTGCTTAAGGGGTATTGAGTTTCTGTTTGGGGTGATGGAAAACTTTGGGAAATGGATAATAATGATGATTATACAACATGGTGAATACAATTAATGTCACTGAACTATACACTTAAAAATGATCAAAATGGCAAAATTTTTGTTATGTATATTTTACCACAATTAAGAAATTTTTTTTTCCAATTTTACCACAATTAAGGGAAAAAAAACCTGTGAGAGTGGGATCTAGTTATTATCACTAATTGGTAAATGAGGTTTATAAGAGGTTAAGTGATTTGTCCCAGGTCAAACAGCTAATAAATGGCCTCAACATCATATACTCTGCCTTCCCTTTTGTTATCTAATGAAAAAAGTATCCCTGCTTGAATCTGAGACCAGCCTTTCCACTTGCATCCTGGATCCAGTCACCTCTGCCCTCCTCAAGGACTCTGCTCCCACATATGTCCTCTTTTTCCTGAATTATCCCTTTCTCCCCATCAGATTCATTAGGCCTTTTATTTCTAGAACACCCTGGGATTTTGGTGAGCACACTGTGACTTAATATTCTAAATATATATATATAGATAGATAGAGAGATAGATTCCCCAATATATTGTAAAATCTTCTACCATAGGTGTTAATTACGTAATGAGAGAGTAAATGAATGAGCAAATGAACAACTGAATAGCAGATTTTGGATCAGAGTGTAAGTTACCTGAGTTTGACCTGCTTGGAGGTACTGCTACACAATCAATTTGGAGGGACTGCATTCTCTTGATGACTGTATTTTGGTCCTGATATTCTTTCTATAATCAAGAGCATAAATAAATGCTTTAGTAAACAGCAGAAAATACTTAGTTCCAGAAAACTATCATGAGAAGAAGGAATTCTTTCAGAAAGTAGAATTTTAACATAGATCTTCTAGTTGTTGTTGGGTGCCGTTGAGTTGTGTGACAGAGCAGAAGAGGCCCGAAGGTCTTCTCTGCACCATAATCTTTACAGAAGCAGATTGCCAGGCCTTTTCTTGTGGAGTTACTGGGTAGATTCAAACCACTGTTTCAGTTGGCATCTGAGTGCTAAAGCATTGCATCACCAGGGCTCCTACATAGATCTTACAAGCAGTAAATATTTTTTTTAAAAAAAACCTTTTTTTTTTTAATAAAATAATACTATGGAAAATTGGGGCAATCTACTTCCATAGTGATACTGCCTCGGAAACCCAAGGAGGGGTCACTATGAGTCGGGTCCGGCTCAACGGCACATCACAACAACAACATGGAAAATGCAATTAAAAAAAAAAAAGTACCCAAAGTACCTTCACCCTCAGATAAAATGTTAACATTGTTTTTTCTCTCAAGTTTTTTTTTTTTCCTATTTATTTTGATCTTCAAAGAGTACCTGCTATGTAAGTAGTAAAAAATACTTGCTAAATGTACACATGAGTGATTAGGATAGAAATGACAGAGTATATTAATTATGTACATATTTGTAGCATTTTGTATTACTTAACATGATATTTTTAGTATTTCAGTTTTATAAAAACAATTGTTTTCTTTTTATAGTTTCTTTATTACACATATAAATACAAATTCTGTGTAAAAGATTTAAAAAAAAAATGCAGAGCAACACTTGACTGTTGTCCCTTCCAACCCCACTCTCCTCCATTTCCCAGAGATAATTGTTTCCCAGAGTGTAATGTGCATCTTTTTTATTCTCTCTCTAGGCATTTACAAACATAATTCTGGAAATACACCATACATATAAACATTAAAAAGATCATACTCCAAATATTGTTTTATGACTTGTATTTTCACTAACAACTATTCTTAAAGATCTTTCTATATCATTTCATATTGATCTTCCTCTTTCTTTTAAATAGCTTTATAGTGTAGTCTGTAAGGAGCCCTGGTGGCAAAGCAGTTAAGCACCTGGCTGCTAACCAAAGGTTGGTAGTTCAAGCCCACCCCACTCCACAGCAAAAAGATGTGTCAGTTTGCTTCTGTAAAGATTCAGACAAACAAAAAAAAAAACCCTGACCCACTGCCATGGAGTCGATTTTGACTCATAGCATACCTATAGGACAGAGCAGAACTGCCCCATGGAGCAGCTTGTGGGTTCAAATTGCCTACCTTTTGGTCAACAGCCCAATGCTTTACCCACAGCACCACCAAAGCTCCATTCATAAAAATTATAGCCTTGGAAACACTCTGGGGCAGTTCTACTCTGTTCTATAGGGTTGCTGATTCAGAAGTGACTCGATAGTTTGGTTTTTGGCTTATAGCAGTAGTCTGTGGAGTCCCTGGGCGGTGTAAATGGCTAATGCACTCAGTTACTAACCCAAAGATTATTAGTTCAAATTCACCAAGAAGTGACTCAGAAGAAAGGCCTGGTAATCTTCTTCCAAAAATTCAGCTATTGAAAATCCTATGACACACATGGGGTCACCAAGAATTGGAAATGACTTGATGGAATTGGTTTTTTAAAATTCATCCTGACATGGGATGACCCTGCTGGGCAACCTTGTCTCTGAGCAACTCTCCTGCTAGGTTGCCAAAGCTGTTTGTCAAACTTGATTGCAGTATGTATGACTTTCTCTCTACTCAGTCCTGTTCCCGCTCCCTCTCTGCACCTTCATCTCCCTCTGGGTGTCTGTTCCTGGAGAGTGCAACCTGAAAAGACTGCTCTTTTCCACTCATCCATTTGATTACCCTTGCTCTAATGCTACACTACTTTCATCTCCTTCTTCAGAATATTCTTTTTTTTTTTTTTAGGATTTGGGTGAAGATTTACAGAGTAAATTCACTTTTCATACAGCAGTTCACATATACTTTGTCTCAT